GACAGATTTGTTCATTCTTCTGGCAGTCCATGATATATTCAGTATTCTTCACCATCACCATTATTCAGCTGCATCAGTTCTTCTTCCGTCTTCCTTATTCTTTGTCCAGCTTTTGCATACATATGAGATGATTGAAAATACCATGGTTTGGGTCAGGCGCACCTTAGTCCTCAAGGTGACATCTTTGCTTTTGAACACTTCAAAGAGGTCTTTTGCAGCAGGTTTGCCCGATGGAATATGTCATTTGATTTCTTTACTGCTGCTTCCATGGCTGTTAATTGTGGATCCAAGTAAAATGAAATCCTTGACAACTTCAATATTGTCTCCATTTATCATGATGTTGCCACTATGCCATACTACACATCAAGTTCACCTGTGTAAATGACAGTTATTTTGTAGTGATTTATATTTATGCCTCTTTTCATAATGTATTTGTTCCTCCTCTCCTCAAGATAGTACATTTCAACTAAAGTAGAGAAATCAGTGTCTGGAATAATCTACATTAATTTCAGGCATACATTTTTCTATACCTCTATGAAGGTGAGGAACTCTAGTGGCACAGTGGTTAAGCATTTGGCTACTAACCAAAAGGTCAGCAAGCCGCTCCTTGGAAATCCTATGGGGCAGTTCTACTCTGTCCTGTAGGGTCGCTGTGAGTCAGAATTGACTCGATGGCAATGGTTTTTTTATGAAGGTAAAGTGATAAATTCCAGAACTTTGTGTTTTTGGTGCTGCTTAGCATTTTGTGTTTTTGTGACTGATAGGAATTATTGTAATTATCGAGTTAGATGTGATGTCTGTTCAAGTACGTGAAAATCAGACATTTATATTCCTATCCTTATGCTTGTGTTGATTCTCGTGGGCAGAACTGTGTACCATAAACTTCTCTTACAGGACCTAGCAGAGTGATAGGCACCACAATCAGATACCTGGTAAATAAGTGTATCAAAGCATCCTTGAACAAAAAAAACTTACGACAAAAGAGTGTAAAACTGACTTACCGTCCTGGACTTTTGCTGTCTTTCCTGGGAATAGTCTAGCTAAAATGTTTTGAAATTATTTATTTATTCATTCAACATATATTTGAATACCTCCTATGTGCTTGTCATTGATCTAGAGTAGGGGTTGGCAAACTATGGTCCACTGTCCAGATCCAGCTGGCCAGTGGGTCTGATCTGGCTGACAGCCTTTTTTTGTAAATAAAGTTTTGTTGGAACACAGTCATGCTCATTCTTTTGCATATTGTCTATGTCTGCTTTCACAGTACCAGGGCAGAGCCTACAATATTTACTGTCTAGCCTGAGTGTTTGTTTTGTCTCTTTTATGTTTCAGTGTTTGTCCTTATAGACCATATTATTTGTTCATTGTTCATATTTGAGTCATATTGATTGAAGGACAATGTTGATTATTATAAGTAGCTGGCAGTTGTTTTCTTCTGAATTTGCGTAGGTAATCTGTTTCCTCAGTAGATCTTTCCCGTGAAAAGGGAGACTGATTAGGAGCTGTATGCCCAGATTCTGTCCAAGGTGGAGTACAATTTGGGGTATGTGGATAGGAAACTAGAATGAGAAAGGCTTTAAGCTTTAAGGTCAAAGGAGGGAATAAAAAGAAGGCTTATGTATATGGATCTTGTTTTTAGTGTTAGTCTTTTTGAGAAATGGACAAATATCCATGAATGTGGAAGCCAATGGGAAAATTTTGAGTGGATTTTCACCCTTTTTTCAAAAAAGAACATTGAGTGACTGTGTAGAGAATTCTGTATGTAGTTTATTCTAATTCTTGAAGGTGTGTGATATGGAACCTAGGTCAGTTTGAGAACATAAAATTGACTACAACTTGATTTACTCAAAATTACAATGTTTGGTATGCTAAATAGGCGAACTGCTAAATGAGCCCCTCTCTGAGTAGACTGAATTGGGAAAAGATGCCCAGACGTTTGGAGCATGAGGCTAGGCATCATCGTGCAGTACAAAAACTGCCGAACCATATGTAGCAGACGCTGCTAGCAGACCTAGGTCTCCCCTTGAACACCAAATTCAATTTCTTTAAAAAGAATCTGTTCTAGTTTCTTGCCTTGGGGTAATACTTGGCTGCTAGTGATGATATGCAGTTGGGTGGGGTTGGCAAGGCTTCACGGCAATTTATTGCCAGCATTTATTCATTCAATAAATATTGGATGCCTACTGTGTGCTAAGCATTATTTTAAGTGTCATTGAACAAAAACAAACAAGATCCTTCTCCTTATGGAAGTAACATTTTAGTGATGGGGAGAGAGACAAAATATAATTTGATAGTAAGTTAAGATTGAGATAAGGGCATTGGAGAAAAATAAAACTGGAAAGGGTAATAGGGGACACTGGGGGCAATTTTACATTGGGTAGCAAGGGAAGGGCTCCCTGAGGAGGTAACATTTGAACACAGACCTGAAGGAGATGCGAGAGCCTAGCCAAAAGGATCTCTGGAGGATAGATGGTACAGCAAGTACAAAGGCCTTGAGATAGAAACTCGCCTGGCATTCCTGGTAGTGTATGTGATAGGGAGGGGAGTAGGCGAGCAGGTCAGAAGTAATGGGAGGGGGCAGATTATGAAGAGCCTTTAGGTCATGTAAGGAGTTTCGCTTTTACTCTTGGTGAGATGGGAAGACATTGGAGGATTTTGAGTAAGCAAGCAGTGTGATTTGGCTTACGTTTTAACAGAATCACTGGATGCTGTGTTGAAAATAGACTATAGGAGGATAAGACCAAAGCAGGGGACAAGTTCTTGGACCAAGATGTGACAGTAGGGTGGTGAAGAGTAATCAGATTTTGTATACGTTCTGAACACAGAACTGACAGAAATTGCTGATGAATTGAAAAGGGGTTATCAGTGACTACTGTGTTGACCTGCACAGCTGGAAGGATGAAGTTATCATTAAGTGATATGGGAAAGACTAAAGGTGGGGAGCTGGTTTTGTTAGGATTTGGACAAGCTTGAAATGTTTGATAGATATTTAACAGTATATTGTAAGTAAGAAATTAGATGTGGTAATCTGGAGTTAAGTGGAAAAGTCCACCTGGAAATAAGTTTCAGAAGACTGGATGAAATAATCTATCAGTAAGTATAGACAGAGAATAGAAGAGATCCATGGACTAAGCCCAGGTACACTCTAGTATTTAGAGGTTCTGGAAATGAGAAGGAGCCAGGAAAAGAAATGAAACATTCAGAAAGATGGGAAGAAACCACGAAAGAATAGTTCATTGAACCATGTGATAAAAGTGTTTTGAGGAGGGCATGAATAGCTGTAGTTAATGCTGATGTGAGGTCAAACTGAACGAGGACTGAGAAAAGACCTTGTATTTAATAACCTGGAGGTCATCGGTGATTTTGAAGTAAGTTTTAGTGGAGTGGTAGGAGTAAAAGCCTGGTGGAGTGGGTTCAGTAGAGAATGATAGTAAAATTCAGTGATACGTCAGAAGTATAATTCATCATGATCAAGTTGGGTTTGTTGTAGGAATAGAAGGATGATTTAACGTTCAACAAAATCAATTAATGTAATTTACCACATTAATAGAAAAGGGAGGAAATTCATATGATCATCTCAATAGATGCAGAAAAAACTTGTGGTAAAATCCAATTCCCATTTATAAGAAACTAGCAAAGTAGGAGCAGAAAGGAATTTCTTTAATTGGATAGAGTATTTACCAGAGGAAACTACAGTCAGCATAATACTTACTGGTGAAATATGGAAAGCTTTCCCTCTGAGACCAAGAAGAAGAAAACGATGCCTGCTGTCACTGCTTCTGTTCATCATTGTTCTGGAGGTCCCTGCCAGTGCAGTAAGGCAAGAAAAGGACATATAAGTATTGGGAAGGAAGAAATAAGTGTCATTATTCGCAGACAACAAAATTATATGCTGAGAAAATCCAAGTCTGCAGGCAAACTTTTATAATCAATAGGTGACTTTACCAGGGCTTTTAGATATAAGGTCAGTATTAAAAAGTCTATTTTTCTGTATACAAGCAACTGTGTATTATCAATTGGCTGCATAACAAATTGCCCCAAAACCTAGTGGCTTAACAACAAGCATTATTTCACACAGTTTCTTTGGGTCAGGAATATAGATGTGGCTTAGCTCAGTGGTTTTGACTCAGGATCTGTCATGAGATTGCAGTCCACATGTGAACCAAGGCTGCAGTTGTCCAAAGGCTTGATCAGGGATGGAGGAGCTGCTTCCAGTGGTGGCCAGAGGCCTCAATTCCTTACCATGTGGGCTTGTCCTCGCGACATGGCAGCTGGCTTCCCTAGAGTGGGTGATATAAGAAAGAGAGAGAGCAAGGCAGAAACCACAGTGTCTTTTATGACCTAGAGTTGGAAATGACATACCATCACTGGGATTCTGTTGATCACACAGACCAGCACTGATACAATGTGGGAGGTGACTATCCAAGGCCCTGAATACCAGAAGACAGAGAGGCCACCTTAGAGACTGGCTGTTATCACAACAACAAACAAATAGAGAATGAGAATTTTTTAAAGATACCATTTACAATAGATTATAAACAAATCAGATACCTAGGAATAAATCTAACAAAAGATATGTAAGACCTCTGTACTGAGTACTACAAAACATAATTGGGAACTTGAAGTCCTAAATAAATTGAGGGATATACTCTATTTATACATCTTAGATTCAACATTACAAGTCCTAACAGGTTGGTTTTTTTTTTTAATTGGAGAACTGAACCTAAAATCTGTATGAAAATAAAGCTGATGTCAGATAATCCAAATCTGTTTGTAAACTGTAGTAACTTAAAACATGATAGCCATATACGCCAGTGGAACAGACTGTAAGTCTAGAAAAAGATCCGTATGTATATGGCCGCTTGATTCATGGACAAAGGGTTAGACTGTAATACCAGTGGGAAAGGGTAGTCTTTTCAGTAAATGGTTTTGAGTTAGATGGCCATATGGAGGAAAAAAAATAAATCTTAACCCCTACCTCATTCTATTCACTTTTACAGATCTAAATGTGAACGGTAAAATAAACTTAGCAGAAAAATATAGGAGCGTGTCTTCATGACTTTGGAGTAGACAAAAATTTCTTAAATAGCATACAAAAAGTACTAACTATAAGGAAGAATTGAAAATTTGGACAAAATTCAGATTAAGATGAATTTTGGTCTCAAAACCATTCAGAATGAAAAGACAAGCCACGGAGTAGGTGACATACTAAGCAAATGGCAAACAATTCAATAGAAAAAATGCACAAAGGATCGTCAAATGGCCAGTAAGTATACGCAGATGTGCTCAGCCTCGTTAGTCTTCATGGAAATGAAAATTGTGAGACTACAATGAGAAATCGCTGCACATCAATAAGAATAGCTAAAATAGAAAGGCAGCTGTATTAGTTTTCTAGGGCTGCTATAACAAATTATCCCAAACTGAGTTGCTTAAAACAACAGAAATTTATTCTTTCACAGTTCTGGGACCAGAAGTCGAAAATCAAGGTGTTAGCAGGGCCACACTCTCCAGAGTCGCTAAGAAAGAATCCATTCTTTGCCTTTTCCAGCTTCCAGTCACTGCAGGCATTGCTTTGCTTGTGGCTGCATCACTCCAGTCTGTGCTTCCAACTTCACTTTGCCTTCTCTGTGTCTCCGCTGTGTGTATGTCTCAAAGCTACCTCTACTGCTCTCTTAGAATTCATTGATTCCATTTAGGACCTACCTGGATGGTCCAGGAAAAGCTCTTTCTCTCTATTGTTAACCACATCTTTTGCCATATAAGTTAGTACAGATTCCAGGGATTAGGACATGGACATATCTTTAGGGCCATCATTCAGCCCAGTACAGCAGGCAATACTAAATACAGGTAAGATGTGAAGTAACTGCAACACTCATACATTGCCAGGGAAGTGTAAGTTTGTATAAGCACTTTGGGGAACTATTTGGCAGTATCTGCTAAAGATGAACATACACATACCCTATCACCCAGCAGTTTCACTCCTAGTATATACCCAACACCCAACAGGTAAAGTAGAAGATCATCGAAAACCAAATCAAACTGAAGCAAACACAGAATTTATCTTGTATTACTGGAAAGTCTAAGATGTGGAGCTGATTTCAGCAAGGTAGATAAGGAGTTCAACCCCTCTCACCCTTGGTTCTCCTTTCCCTCCCCATTTCAACTTTGCTTACTTTATTGTCTTTTTAATTCTCAAGCAGGCTCTTTTTGTGACAGTGATGGCACAGGTTACACAATTGGTGATCCCAGAGAATAGTGTGCATCTTTCTCATTTGTGCCTGTAAAATCCGAAGGAAGACTGGTTGGTCTAGCTTCAGACATACGCTCAGGTTTGGTTCATGTGTTCCACCCCTGAGGCAGGTCTGGCTCTGGGGAGAAGAGGCCAGCCCTATCCAAGCCAAATGAAATGGTCTTCCTACATGAAAGAGAGGTTTTGTTACCTGAAAGAGTGAGGAGAAAAAACATGCTAGGCAGACAAAAGCTATCTGTTTCAGGAATACAGATATTCAAGTTCAGTTGTTGAATACCTTTTTAATTATTAAGAAACCACAGATTTATATAGACTTTGTAAGTAGAAAACAGTATGCTAAAGCATTATTGCCGTTTATCACATCATAGCTACAACTCTCCATATAAGCCATATCTGAAAACACAGATTTAGATGAGGTAATGCCTTTTCTAAGTTCTTTCCCTTATTGAGTGATACTGTATACTTAACTAAGGCCGTGAGGCTTAGCAGGAGCAAATAATACTTAAATTTTACATTCAGCCTTGATTTGGGGAATCCCACAGTTAATAGTACCTATGCTTAAGTTTCATTTCTCCCTAGCCTCCCTCACATCATCTGTAGGGATGATTACACTAAAGTCATTTGTTCATTAATCCAGGGGTTGGCAAACTTTTGGTCCTCTGCCTTTTTTTGTTGGGCATGTGAGCTAAGAATGGTTTTTACATTTTTAAGTGGCTGGAAAAAATTTTTAAAAAATAACATTTTATGACGCATGAAAAGTATATGAAATTCAAATTTTAGTGGCCATGTTTTTGTTAGTTGCCTTCGAGCTACCCCGTGTGTGCAGAATAGAACTGCTCCATAGGGTTTTCAAGACTGTGACCCCTGTCTTTTGAGTCACCTCAAGGTAGGTTCAAACCACCAACCTTTAGGCTAGTAGTAAAGCACTTAGCCGTGTTTGTACCACCCAAGGACTCCCTTAGTGACCATAAATACAATTTTGTTAGAATACATCCATACTTATTTGTTTACATATTGTCTATGGCTGCTTTTGTGCTACAGTGACAGTGTTGAATTGCTGCCACAAAGACTGTATATGGCTCATGAAGCCTAAAATATTTACTGTCTGAACCATTACAGAAAAGTTTGTCAGCCCTTGTTTTAAACATTTTTAGACAATGCAGTAAATGAGAGCCTTCTAAGAGTTTTTCTACCTGTCTTCTTCAGCTGTAAACAATATATACAGTGGCTTCTTTTTGTGAGATTTATCATAATAGTCAGTGGAAACTTGCCTTATAAAAGTAATTGGGAAAATGAGGTTTGTATTTACTAGAATTAACTTTGGGGTCTCATATATATTTATCTTCTTATATAACCTAGTATGTTGAAAGTAATGAATAAATTATTGGCTGGGAAAGAATATGTGCTGTTCCAAAGATACTATCCTCATGTTAGCCAGACTCACACCTTTTTGTCTTTCAGCGCAAGCAACAGCAGGAAAGCCAACCTGACATAGGGAACTGGGAACTGCTATACAGAGAGAGAACTACAAAGCATCCTCAGTACAGTAGGAACCTTAATCCAAAGTCCCTATACTTTTATCAGAGTGAGTAACATTCTTCCCAGGTATTTTATATCAAGTCATACTTTCTGATGTGTAGTCGCTTTATGAACTTTGCTGGATTTTTTGTGATCTCTACAGAGGTTCTTGCATGCCCCCCCCCCCCCCGACATATGTGTAATGCCCATATGATACCTGGTAGGTTCCAATGTTCAGAACTTTATTCTTCTGATCGATTTTTTTTTTTTTTTTTATTATAGTAGGGTATACTACTTTACTACTTTGCTCTCTCTTGGTGTCTCCATGTGATATAATCGAAAAGAGAAGTCTCTGAATTAACCAATTCTGAGTAGTTATTTTTCCAGTGATTGTAAATAAATAAAATTGGACTTACCACTTTGTGCCTGCAGTACTGCTTTGAGGTTTAGTTAAACATTCTTGTTTAACTCAACATGTTATGTACTGTATTTTTACACAAATAACACATGCCTTCTTTGTTTGCCATCCACGCCCTCCCCCAGCAAGGTATTTTCGTAAGGGCTCCTATGCCAGTTTTTTTATGTGTCGCTGTAGAAGTCACATGTTATTTGCATAAAAATATGGTATGTGTATTTATTCTCCTAAAATTAACAGTAAAGATCCCCAATTGAAAAAGTCATAGGTGTTAGCTTAGAGATTGAAAACTCAGATGCTAATAAATTAGATCAGTCAGGTAACTGAAGGTTGAAGATAACCTTGAACTGAAGAGTACAGGCCCTGTCTAAAAGGCACCATAGCTGATGATTTTAATTGTGTGAACATGAGCCCACTGTTGTCAGGTCTTCCTATTTTTCAAAATAAGATAGAAATAGGATTTTTTATGTGATGTTTCCCAAGTTTCTAATGCTGACAACTAATTTCTTTAAACATTAATATGTACCAGCCAATCAGACATGGCTGTGGGCTAGATTTAACCCACATTTGCCAGTTTGCAACATCTCTGGATTAACCTCTATTTCAGGAGGAGGCAGAAAAACATCTCAGTGAATAAATATATGTGTTCTTTAACTGGCTTAGGTTATTGGTCATTCTAATTGAGTAGGCAGTAGTAGTCCTGCTGTTGACTGTTTCAGTACATAAAATGTAAGTACCAGAGTATGAAACATTTTTCATCAATCTGTTTTCTTTCCTTTTCAACTGAAAATAACCATTTTTTAGTTGACAGGAATACTTTTAACAATAATGAAATGTATTCAACAAAATATTTTGTAGGGGGTTCATATTAGGTATAATGAGGGTTTGAAGTAGGAACTTTTAAGAGTTTAGTTGGGTAAATGAATTATATAGCCGTGAAGCAGTTGATTAATGATAAGATTAATTCCTCAAAAGGGTGGTAGGGGCAGCTTCTTTAGGAATACAGAACAGAGAAAGGAGTATCGAGGTGGGCAGAAATGTACCTAGAAGTAATAGAATTTAAGCTGTTTCTTGAAATAGGATTGTTATAGGCGGAGTGCTGAAGTGGACAGCATTTGCTAAGAAAGGAGCAGCTTGAGCTAGAAGATTGTTTCCAGGAATGAACATGATCTCAAACATCTGGGAACAAAGGACTCTACTTGTAGGAAAAGCAGAGTAAAAGCAGTTATTGAACTTCTGCTATGTGCAAGGCACCATTTAGGTGCTTTCTATATACATTGTCTTATTTGGTCTGGTTATATAGATATTAGCTCCCTCTTAGAGAGTTGAGACAGAAGTTTAGTAACACGTCCAAGCTCTTACCCTGGCATAGGTGTTTAGTGTTTCCTGGTGGCATACAGTAATTTGCTATAGAGTTCAGAGCATCAAACTCTACCAGCTCTCATATGAGCAATATACATATGTCCCAGGAGTGGAGAGGGCATGCAAGAATCTTTGCAGAGATCACATTGCAGAGAGCCCAGTAGTTGATTGTGGGGTAAAATTATGTAGAGCATGAATGCTAGGTCAGGTATTCCTCTCTGGAACAGTTATAAAATAACAGAATATGATGAACTGGATGTTTTAGGGGAATTTAATTAAATTGATTTGGAGGAGAATCAGTAAAACAGAAAGCAAAAACTGTTAAGATAACACTGGTATGGAGTAATGAAAAACCTGTATTGGAATGGAAAAGAAAAGAGCTCAAGACATTTCAAAGTGAAGATTATTGGAACTTGGTGACTTAATTCTAGGGAATAAAGCAGGGGGAAGTAGGTTTAATTGGCATCTATTGCAGTTATTATAATGGACTCTATGTTGCATTCATTTATTTGCTGTTCTTTTGTCTGACTTATAATTGATAATACATTTTCTTTGCAGTCTTAAAAATTAATATTGAATTTTTTTATGCTGATGAGGATTTCTTAGGTAAATAGACTGAAAGGAAGAACAAATTTTCTCAAGAAATTGGTTTAATTAGCTAATTAAAATTGGATACTATCTTAAAGTTGAATAAATGAGTGACATTTTAAATTATCTTAAAATGAAAAGAATAAAAATTCATAAATGACCACAGAATTATAGATTTGTGGGGATAGGATGGACTTTGATAGTCTTTCTCTTCATTTTTTTTAGGTGAAGAAAAAGATACTGACTTAGCCACTTACTAGATATGTGACCTTGAGCAAGTTACTAAGTCTTACTGCATATCAGTTTCCTGATTTTTTTAAATGGAGACACCAGTGGTACCAACATTATAGGTTTCTTGAGAGAATTAAATTGGATAATATAAATAAAACAGTTCCTGGCCCATAGTAAGCTCTCAATAAATGTTAAGTATTGTTTGGAGGCTCAGAGGGGATGATAGTTGTGGTTTTGATTATGAATGTTATTAATAGTCAGAATTCACATTTCATGAATTCTCTCCAATCCATAGACCATAACAATCAATTTTTCTGTTTATGAGTATTGTCACTCTTTGCCTCCTTGGATTTGTAGCTTTATAAATTTCACAGTATGGCAGTTAAGGAATTGTTCTGCCTTCTCATTCCCTTCGCTTACCTCATTTCCTCCCTGAGCATTTGAATGCCAGACTGATATACCCTGCAAATTGTGTACCTACCCAGAAGGTACAGTAGCAATGGGAGGCAGGTCTTCTAGCTTCTCCAGAGCTACTCCATCCATGCCACTACACTTAACAGATGAACTAAGATATCCTTTTGTGGTTTATGGTCTTTCTGAATCTTCATGTGAAGGTGCATTTTATGGCCTCGAGATTAATAAATAAAGGGTTTTTGTTTTTTTTTTTGGTTTGTTAAGTAACCTGTGAAATCCTTTGTGCTTTTTATCTGCTAGAGATGATAGTTTTTCACAAGAAAGCTCTTGACTGTGAAAATCATTGTTCATTTATTGCCATGCAGGGCATTTTGACTTTGGGAAATTGCTAGTGTTACACGTTTTGAATTTTAGCTTTATCTTCTAAAGCATGTATTATTGTGTTATAAAAGATTAGTGATCATATTTTGCTTTTTAGGTATGACATTTACTTGAGTTTTTTATAGAAATAGGATATTTACTATCTCTTCTGGGTGCTTGTGAATTCCAGCCATATACTAAAAAAAGTATCAATGTCAGTGGGGAAATTTCCTTTAATTCTTATATTAATATCATTAATAGCAGCACAGCATAATTGGTGGCTTAGATCAGTGTTTATCTTTTTTTCATTATTGCTCCCTGAAGAAGCCTTTGTAAATTTTTTTTCCTAATTGGCCCCCTACCTCTTTAAAATTTTAATTCCACAAATATCCTGTGTATCTGTTTATGTATTGCATATATATCTGTGCTTTATGCATAAAAAGTTTTCTTTTCTCCCCTTACACTCAAGAATCAGTGTTTGCCTCTGGCAGACAATTATCACCTGCATGAAGAATGCATGGTTTACCAGCTGTCAGTTCTCAAACTTTTTGGTCTCAGGACCTTTACACTCTTTGAAATTATTGAGGACTCTGAAGAACTTTTGTTTATATGGGTTATATCTAGCAATAGTCATTATATTAGAAATTAAAGCTGAGAAAATTTTTTAAACATTTATTAATTTATTTAAAAATATTTTATGAAAAATCACCACTACCACTCCAAATGGTTTAGTGAGAATGAGTGGCATTGTAATCATTTTTGCATATCTCTTTACAGTTTGGCTTAATAGAACACAGCGAAATTCTCATATCTGCCTTTGCATTCAATTTGTTGCAGTGTTATAAATTCTGGGTCATACGGATAGATAGTTGGAAATAGGATAAGTATTTTAACAACCTTTTGTGATAATAGAGGATGTTCTCCTTTGATACTACACCAAAACTTGACAGTTGGTAGTTGTTTTTTTTTTTTAAATTGTGTTTAGATGAAGGTTTACAGAGCAAATTCGTTTCTCATTAAACAATTAATACACAATATTGTTTTGTGACATTGTTTGCCAACCCCACGACGTGTCAACACTCTCCCCTTCTCCACCTTGGGTTTCCCATTACCAGCTTTCCTGTCCCCTCCTGCCTTCTAGTCTTTACCCCTGGGCTGGTGTGCCCATTTAGTCTCGTTTTGTTTTATGGGCCTGTCTAATCTTTGAATGAAGGGTGAACCTCAAGAGTGACTTCATTACTGAGTTAAAAGGGTGTCCGGGAGCTGTACTCCTGGGGTTTAACTAGTCTCTGTCAGACCAGTAAGTCTGGTCTTTTTTTTGTGAGTTAGGATTTTGTTCTGCATTTTTCTCCAGCTCTGTCCAGGACTCTCTGTTGTGATCCCTGTCAGAGCAATCTGTGGTGGTAGTCAGGCACCAGCTGATTGTACTGGACAGTCTGGTGGAGGCTGTGGTAGTTGTGATCCATTAGTCCTTTGGACTAATCTTTCCCTTGTGTCTTTGGTTTTCTTCACTCTCCCTTGCTCCAGATGGGGTGCTCCAGAAGGCCACTCACAAGCTTTTAAGACCCCAGACGCTACTCACCAAAGAAGGATGTAGAACATTTTCTTTATAAACTGTGTAATGCCAGTTGAGCTACATGTCTGCCAAGACCATGGTCCCCAACCATCAGCCCAGTAATTCAGTCCCTCAGGACAATTGGTAGTTTCTTAAAGGATAGTTGCAATGTGGAATCCCAAACCATATAAAAGACTTATTGTCCTCTGTTTTAAAATTCATTGTCTTTTCCTTTGAATCAATCTCTTGTTCATGAATGATTTTGTACCATCATACAGTGCTCACTTGGAAACTATTTGTTCACTGACTTAAGCAGATCTTCCAAATGTTAGTACAGTATCAATTAATCAAGTATTAGAGATACTTGTCCAGCTTTTTTTCACTTGAATGCTTGAGTTCTATCCTTGGCAACAAATACTATTACAGTGAAACTTGTGAAAGCCAGAACTCTCTGGGACTGCCTCCTTTTTCCGGGTCTCATAAGTTTTTGGCCTTTGACAGGTGCTTACTAGCGTCCTTCATTAAGAATCCTACCTTGTTTTAGTTTTGAGTTTTCTTTCTCTGACACGTTTCTTCCTTATGCAGGTTGTTTTCTGGGAAATGATAGGCTCACTTCATTCATTTTCAGAAAAATGTCTGCCATATACCCAAGTCTGAAAAACGAGAATTTGTCAATTTTTTTTTTTTTTTTTAAGTAAAAATTGTGTTCCATGAAGAAAGCAACTAATCCAGCTCTCAACTTGAACAGTTGCACAGGTACTTATTTAAGAAAACCATCATAAAACAAGAATGCTTTTATGTATACCTTCCAGTTTACCACGAAGAATACTAACAAAACATTTAATCAAATGAGCGGCTTTTACTCTGAGAGTGAGGTGATAAAGAATACAGTAACAGCTAGTACCGTTTGGTGCCACTATCTTGATGTGGCTCCTTGATATGGCTCTAGTAGTTTTACCTACCTTTGCTTTTACATGATCAGTGTAAATAACATGGCAAATAATTAGTGTTATTATGAAAATAGCTTTGTGATCCATGGACCACACTTTGGCAGCCACTTATTTCAAGCATAGACTCTGGAGCCAGACTACCTGGGTTGAATCTGAGCTAGCTGCTGACCTTGAACAATTACCCTGATAACCAAAACCAGAAAAAGACACTCTAAAAATAAAACTACAGACCAATATCCCTTAAGAATATGGTTGAAAAAAATCCTGAACAGAATATTTGATATTAGCTTTTCTATCTCATCATGAATTATTATTTACTAAATTTGATATGTATGTTTAATATATAAAACAGGGCAACAAGATTAGATTCTGAAACAGCTTACCGTTATGGAGTAAGAAAGATACTTGCAAAATGCCAAATTATATTCCTAGGCTAAAGAATAAATGCTTTTTAAAAGCAAATGCTAACCCTGGTGCTTTGTTTTGTAATCTAGACAAGTGCATTATTATTCCTAGTTCTCAAATTTGCATTAAATCTCAATAATCTTTGAATAATTTTGGTGAGGTAAAATCTGGTAACAGTGAACAGTGAATGCTTTCCTTCGGTGTTTATCAATTCAAGGAAATTTCATTGGCAAAACAACTTTTCCTCCTTTGGTTAGTCTCATTCTTCATGATCTTTGAGCATAAATTCACCTGTAAATACACATATGCTCATTTTGGAGTAACCTTTATTTGGGGGTTTGGTTTTTTAAATAAGAAGAACTTGTTACTACCTTCTATCATGTTATTCATGCCAAAAACTATTTGCCTTGTGGGGAAAATGGCATGTGGGGTTCTTCCATCTCCTAAAATTGATTATTGCCTTCATACTGGTTCCTCAGTCACAGCATCACTTGACTGGACTCCTCTGTCCACCTAATTTTGTGTTGTATTTTTAAATACTTTAAAAAACAATGTATTTTTTTTCCAATTAAATAAGCATTATCTTTAAGAAAATTTAAAAAGTACAGAAAGGCATGAATCTGAAAAAAATCACCATTAACTTTGCCACCCTTTGATACATTCTTTCCTATCCTTCGTGATAACTGATAGATGCTACTTTTGTCCTGATTAGCAACATATTTTATACATTTCATATCATGCCTTTTCATTCATTATTAACATTTTACTCCTTTATAAAAAAGTATTCTAAAATAATTCTAATGACTGCATAATTTTTGTCATTAATATGTGCTATACTTTAAAAAGTCAGTTTTCCTAATGTCGGACATAGAGGTTATTTTCAGTTTGTCAACATCATAAATATGCCATGAAGCACGTTTTTGTATATTATTCTTTGTTGTTTTTCTGATTATACCCTAGAATAAGACCCTTAGAGGAGAATGACTGGTTCAGAGGGCAATCTTTTACAGTGCTCTTGATGTGAGTTTCTAAATTGCTTTCCAAAAAAGTTGTACTAGTTTCTCATTTCATCAGTATTCTGCCCAATTCTCTGTATCTTCTTCACCAGCACTGATATTATGTTAAAGGCTTTTTTAAAAGAATAAATTACATAAGGTAATGCTTGAACTTGGAGCAAAAGTTTAAATGCTTAGAAGTTAAGTAGTGTAATATATAGTGAAACTGGAAATGTATATTTCTCATTAGCAGAATCCAAACCTAATTAGACTTATGAGGGCTTTCTAAAACATTCTGGTGGTGCGGAGTCTTCAGAACAGATACCTTTCTCTAGAGTTCTTTATTCTTTCTGACCCAGTACAGATCTGCTTGTTTAGAGTGGGTGTGAGATGAAAATTCAGTGTGTGTCCTTTTGGTCTTAATTTTTTCTCTCTTAGCCCTACCCTTAGTTCTTGGGACAGCTATGTAGAGTGGTTTAGGGGAAGTATATATGGATTTTTCCTTTATTATATAAAGCAGATTTGGATAATGTATGACTAGTTTTGTGTCTGATCTCTTTGCTAATTCTTTGTAAATTTCAGGTGTGCAACAGAGGAACATGGCTCAAGAAACTAATCACAGCCAAGTGCCTATGCTTTGTTCCACTGGCTGCGGATTTTATGGAAATCCTCGTACAAATGGCATGTGTTCAGTGTGCTATAAAGAACATCTTCAAAGACAGAATAGTAGTAATGGTAGAATAAGCCCACCTGGTAAGTAAGTCTGTTAAAACACTGTATTGAAATACACTTGGTTAGCCTGGTGCTTCTTAATACATTTTTCTCCTCTCATTTTGTACTTATATTATCACATTTATATCTGTAAAATTTCTCGTTGCACATTGTGATTATCAGTGGTGGGGAGACAGGGACGAGAGTGCCTTTGCCCATTGAAAATAACTACACACCTCATTTATTGACGTGGTTAGGTTCCAAAGACCAGGTCATTGAAATTGGCATTACACGAAAATGGAGGATGACCACGTGAGATCACAAAATGGAGAATGACTACATCATTCCATAACTGCCAAATTACATCATTACTAACCACCAAATTACATCATTTCATAACTGCCACACCACTGAGAATTATGGTCTGGCCAAATTGATACATAACCTTAACCATCACAGCCAGCGTTACTCTTGCCTCACACTTCAGAGTTTGTTACTGCCAGACATGTCGTTAATGCGCAAAATAGTTGGATAGAGTTTTTACTGTTGTTGTAAATGCGAAATGTCAGATAACGAGACAGTCGATATGTAAGGAGTAGGTGTACTATAAATCCATTCGATAGTCTTTTTTTTATTGTGCTGCAGAACTCTTCTTATTAAAATAGAGGCAAACTTCAAGAATATATAGATACCTTGTAAAGTAAGGTAAGAGATTGAGGGCTATGAGAAGACCTTGGTTCTTTTATTTGGGTGATTTTTGCAGCCAGAGTAGTTGTAGAATGAAAGAATGGATTATAGATAGTCACAGCTAACTTCAGAGAAAGCCTTATTCCATTTGGAAGGAAGGATTCAGGTGGGCTGACTCAAAAGTATGTTCAACCCAGTTCATCTGGGTTCTTTATGCCTTTTTGAATCAAAGGATTCTCCTAGAATTGAGATGGGCTTTTGTTTCAGTGAAGGAGCCCCTGGTGGTGCAGTAGTTAAACGCTCAGCTGCTAATCAACTGGTCAGTGATTCAAACCCACCAGCTGCTCCGTGGGAGAAAGAGTTGGCAGTCTGCTTCGATAAAGATTACAGCCTTGGAAACCCTATGGGGCAGTTCTGCTCTGACCTATAGGGTCGCTATGAGTCAGACTCGATGGCATGGGTTTTTTGTTTCAGTAATTGTGGAAGAAAGATCATGAGGATTCTAAGATTTGCAAAAGGAAAATGTCAAAAGTATTCATCTAAGATAGCTCTTATGTAGATTAATGCTTCAGTATATAGATTTTTGGGGTTAATGGAGGTGTAGACTGTTATTAGTTCATTCAGATTTTATATTGGGTCTTGTCATTGTTCCATCATTTTCAAGCCAAAAACTAAAACCGTTTCATTGAAATGTCTCCAAATTTTCTTATTCATTTTTTCAAATGAATACAAACGGTTGCTTTTTCAATTAAATGGTCATCTGCATTTCTGCTGTATGAAGTAGAGGGAAAATGGTAAAACCTAATTGCTGAGCACAGATGTTAATTCTCAACCTATGTCTACTTTATTCCTAAATTATTTTTTATTTTAAATATCTCACTTGTACACTAGTTCTTGGAAGATACTTGTGAATAAACATTTTGGGTTTGGGTGATAATCAATAATGAGAAATAGGAGTTAAGTTTATAAATTATATACAGTTTGTACATGGTTCCCTTCCTCGTTAATATTAACATTTTTTATTGGCAACCTATTGAAAAATTTTTAACTAAAAAATAATGAAACCAGTATTATATAGTAAACCAAAATCTGTATACTATATTTTTGGAAAATTGATCTTGATTTTTTTAGATAAGGTCTTGGACTGCCCAGAGTACAGAATCACTAATATGAAGTGTGGTACTCTTACAGCAACTTCTGTCAGTAGTCTGTCTGAATCTTTACCAGTTCAGTGCACAGATGGCAGTGTCCCAGAAGCTCAGTCGTTAGACTTTACGTGTTCATCTATGCAGCCAAGGTAAGCTGTAGTCCCTGAACTATAATTGGAAAGTTCATGAAAAATAAAGAATATTTTCATATGTGATCAGTTCTGTTAAGGAAAGCTGTGTAATGCCACTTGAGGAGAAATTTTTTCCATTTAATTATTACTGACTAGTTAGAAAGGCTTTTTATTGTTTTTATTAAGGGCATTTTGTCTGTTACGTCAGATTTCCTTTTCAGGCTTCTTTTCTTTCATTTTTCCTCATCATGTACCCTGACCTGCCCCTGAAGTCCTTTTCAAGCATGTTAAGTTAGTTCTTCAAATTTTAGTCTTATTCTGCAAGTATTAGTACTTTGTATTAAAAAAATACAGTCTTAGTACAGCTTCTATTTGTTTAATAACATGATGTTATAACTGTTGGTTTGTATCATAGTACATTTTTTTTTCTTTCTAATTTTGAAGTTGTATCCTTAAAAAGCCTGAAAATGCAGAAAAATTTGTTTTGTTTTTATTCTTTTAGTAAGCAGATACTAAGCTTCTATTCTGTGGATTTGTTTGTTTTTTCCCAGTTCATGATAGCAAATGCTCAATTCTGCTATACCAGTATATCATTTACAATTTTGTGTTGACATTCCTTAAGCATGGTCTTCATCATGCTAGTTTTCATTTAACGAATTTATGTGGTACTTGAAATATAGGACACACTATTGCCTTGTTTTTAAAGCAGTAGCCTTTTGATCCAAATTGGTCTCTAGTTTCAGAGCTCTGTGGTTACGTTTAAGTTATAAAAAACGTATCTCTGTTAATTCTTGTCTTAATGGTCTACTTAGCTATGTTGAACTCTTACTTCTTATACAATATCACTTTAGTTAATATTCATGTGTGGTGATCATCTTTTAAAATCTAAATATTTTTGCTTTTCTAGCCCTGTATCAAATCAGTCACTTTTATCAGAATCTGTAGCATCTTCCCAAGTGGACAGCACATCTCTGGACAAAGCAATACCTGAAACAGAAGATCTGCAAGGTTTGTGTATGAACTAGTGTGTATTTTGTCATATGTTCAACATTTGAGTATTGTAGGCCATGTATTTTTTTTTAAAGCACTCTTAAAATGCATAGTTTTTTATTTTCTGTATGAAGAGAATATTTTATGTCCTCAAGTATTTAATTTACTGAAATGTTGGTAGCCATTTCCTACTTACGTATATATCATCAGCATCAAACATAGAAATTCAGAATGTGTTTAGTTTGAGAAATATAATTAAATGAACAAGTAGTGGTAGGATACTATTCTGTTTTGTTATTTTGGCCAGCTTAATCTAAAAACTATTTTCTCTCCAGGCAAAGTGGGACTGCTGATTTGAAGGGAATCTGTTTCTCCTGTTTTTTGGCTTAAATTATCTGAGACACTGTAACTTGGCTGGCAGTCACTCCCTACCCCCATCTGTGACTTACAGTGTAACAGTCCCATTCAGTTACTTATATTCACAGCATCGTGCCTCATGTTCTTGCCCATACTTTTTATGTCCCCATTATATGGATCAAAGTGATGTACGAAGACTTGAGAATTTGTATGAAGGCTCTCTTAGTGGGCAGAGACAGTGCAGAGGAGCCATATAGGATGCTGTTAAATAACCTGTGCTTAATCAGTTATATTCTGCCGATGTGTGGAAATAGTGTGTTAACAGAAGAGGAATACTCTGGAAAAACAAGCCCCCAAGGATAAGCAGTGTGTCATTCTGCCTGTGGCAAGGTTTGAAGAGCCAAGATACCCTGAGCAGTGAAACTTCCCATTGTGCATGGTGTTTACATGGTAGCAGTAGATACATCTGACAATTTTAGCTTAAATTTGCCTAATTTTTAATTTAGCCAAGCTAGCTAATTCCACTTGCTCTGATTTCAGCATCCAACAAATGCCTGGCATAATTTGCCTATTTGTATAGCTTTTGTTACAGCAAGAAAATGTACTTACCTGGCTAACATAAATATTCCAGTCCACCTAGCATATTATAAATTTATGAATATTATAAGTAATTTTTTTTTTTTTAAGTTATACAGAAAAGCTTAAGGAAGGGCAGAAATAGAAGATATCCCAATATTTAGATATTCACTGGGCACAGGAAATGATAACACAAGGGTGGTGCTAAAATTTACAAGTCTACGATACAGGTAGTCCCTGATTTACCATATATTTGAGTTATGATGCACCACACTTAAGACTGTTTGCTTTTGGTGTGTTTTTGTTTTTAATTTTTTTTGGTACATCTTATTGTTAGTAATATATACTACATACAGTGTTACAGCACATAGTTTGCTGATGTTATTCTCAGATGGAATGTTTCCAACTCCCAGAGACAAGTAAAGATCAGATTTATAAAGATACTGACAATAAAAGGCAATAATAATGAAAACTAAAAAAAAAAGGTATTTGACTTAGATCAGAACTGACTCACAACGGAGTAGTCGTTGGAATAGAACCCCGTTGTAAGTCGGGGCCTACCTGTAGTGGCAATGTGGTTAGACAAAATTTTAGATACTAAAAAATAATTTAAAAATTCCCATCGAGGCAATTGTGACCCTACAGAACAGAGAAGAACTGCCCCACGGGGTTTCCAAGGCTATAAATGTTTACAGAAGCCTACTGCCACATCTTTCTCCCGCGAAGCAGTTGGTGGGTTCAAACTACCGACCTTTTGGTTAGCAGCCGAGCACTTTTAACCCACTGTGCCACCGGGGCTCCTTCGTGTTAGATACAGTGGATTGTAAGTGATCAAATTTCATAGGGAAAGGGCTCAATTAGACGTTGTAGGTAGGATAGTAGGTGTTTAAATGTGTGGAGTGATCAGGACTATGCCTGTTTGGAAGCCCTTGACATAGGTTAAAAAATGAGAGAGAGGTTAAAAACAAAAGGAGCAACAAGGAGAATAATGAGCCAGCAAAGTTGCAGAGGAATTAGCTGTCTAGATTCTGGTTAGTTTTTGGTCACAGTGCCAAAAGAGAATATCAAGAAGTAGAGGTTCTTAGCAACAACTTTGACAGTGAACATGTAGGTTGGTGAACTATCGTGATATGAAGTACTTTTATACCATTCCTGTTGTATGGAAAACAATATAGTCCTCTCCACTTAACCCTGAGTACATTAATGCAAAAGGTGGTCATGAGACCACATTGGGAGAAATTATAGAGGGTTTTAAAAATTTATAGACTCCTTTTTTCATGTACAATTTGAACTACTTTTAGATTAAACCAGTATTAACTTCTAAATGCCTGAAAAAAAAATTAGCATTCATAATTTCAGCATAGTAGAATCTTTGAAAATCAGGGGTAAGTTTAGTTTTCAATGTGTAAAATTTCTAACAGCCTTAGTTTAAAAAAACATTTTAGCTTATACTGTTGAATTAAGAATGCCTTCTTCATTTATTATACACATACCCCCCCCACACACACACACACTCACACTCACACTCACTCACTCACTCACTCATATACACATATATGCACTTATGACTTATGATTTCCCTGTTGGATAGGAACAAATGCGGAGAATTTTATTTTAATCTATTTAATTAGATGGATGAAAAGACACATAAAGAGAAAAGATCTCTTTTGACTCAAGTCAGATGGTCATTTGAGCTGAATCCGGAACCTAGTTACCTGACTCTAGACCAGTATTCTTTCCACTGAGTCATGGATGTGTGTGTTCCTAATGCCACACCCAGCTCTCCTCAGATCCCAGGATGTGTTCAGCTGGTTTGGCGAGATAGCCAGGTATCTCTTTTCTTCCATTATCACTGCATGTACATTCCTCAGAGGACATTTTTTTAGCTAGAAAGACCATCCCAGATGGAAGCATGTACATGAGTAGTACGTGTGTACCTAAACCAGAATTTCCTAACATTTTTTATTGGAGTTTTCAGGATAGTGTCCCTGAAGCAGCTTTTTTCTCTGCAGGTATTCTGTTTATAATTAGGATATGCTGCCACCAGGTGGGTGGTACTGCTTTCATTTTGACCTCATGGCTCTGAAGAATTTTTTTCTCGTTAACTGAGAATTTAACATACTGCTGCATGGTTCTCATGTAATTACACTTTTTAATTCAAAAGATAGCAGTACCTCACATTGTCACTTAGGAATGTAAGTCAGGTTTCTAGTTCACAAATGCTAGCTTAAAAAAAAAACTTCTAAGCATTTTGGTGTACTCTATCATATTTGACTGCCTGCCTTATTGAACAATATGCTTACTTTTGATTAACCTCTCAGTACCCCAGATCTTGAGTCATAGTAAAAAGAGTGTGGAATTTTGATTCAGAGGTTCTGCATTCATACGTCATATGTGTAAGTACTTGACACCCCCACTTAACTTCCCAGAGCCTTCATTACCTTTGAAGGAGACTAATAAGCATGTCTGTGTTTATAGGATATTAGAAGTCAGTGAGATAATGGAGGTGACAGGAGTTTTGTAAACTGCAGAGGATATTCTTATTCTTTATAATGCCACTGTGATTTTGGAGTTACAGGAGGCTTAGAATAAGAATTGTGAAGCTATTCTCAGAACATTATTTCTCTCCAATAGCAGAGAGAAATAATTTCTGAGGTAGTAAGCTATCCATCACCAAAGCATTCTAACAAAGCTGAGTTGTTGTCAGGGACAGTATAGAGGGAATCACTGTACTGAGTGCAGGTTAAACTAGAATTTTCAGGCTCTTTCAACTCTGAGGGTTCCTGACTTCATGTAAAGTTGAATTGACAAATTAGTGATTCAGAGCAATCAGAGGAGAGCAATCTCCTTGGACTAATTTAAAAAAGCTGTGTGGATTAAAAATCGGGGATTTCTTCTGATTTTGAAAATAGGCTAACGACACTAGCCAAAACAGTCTTGGGAAAAAAAAGAACGAAGTTGGAGAACTCGCAATTACTGATTTCAAAATCTACAAGTTAGAGTAATCAAGATTTTGTGATAACTAGCTTAAGAATAGACATATAGATTAATGGAAGAAAATTGAGAGTTCAAAAACAAATCCTTATATTTATGGGCAGTTGATTTTCAACAATGGTGCTAATACCATTGAATGGGGAAAGAATAGTCTTTTCAACAAATGATGCTGGGACAACGTCTCATATTCACATGGAAAAGAAGTTGATCCCTACCTCAGACCATACACAGAAATTAATTCAAAATGGATCGAAGGTCTAAATGTAAGTGTTAAAACTGTACTCTTAGAAGAAAACGGGTAAATTTTCACAACCTTGAATTAGGCAGTGGTTTCTTAGATATTATCTGACACCTAAAGCATAAACAACCAGAGAAAAATAGGTAAGTGGAACTACATCAAAATTTAAAACTTTTTTGCTTCAAAGGACACTATCAATAGAGTGAAAAGATGACCTACAGAATCGGAGAAACTGCTTGGAAATTATATATCTGATAAGGATCTAGTATCCCGAATATATAAAGAACTCTTAGATAACTCAATAATAAAAAGACAAATAACCCAGTGGGCAAAGGATTTGAATAGATATTTCTCCTGCAATAAGCACATGAAAAGGTGTTCAACATCATTAACTATCACGGAACTGCAAATCAAAACCACCAGGTACCACTTCATACCCATTAGGATGGCTGTAATCAATAACAACAAGTGTTGGCGAGGATATGGACAAAGTGGAACCCTCATGCATTGCTGGTGGGAATGGAAAACAGTTTGGCAGTTCCTCAAAAAGCTAAACAGAGTTACCATATGACCTAGCAATTCTGCTTCTAGGTATGTGTCCAAGAGAATTGACAGCATGTGTCTTCACAAAAACTTGGACTCAAACGCTCATAGTGCATCATTCATAACAACCAAAAAGTGGAAACAACCCAAAGGTCCATTAACAAAGAATGGATAAACAAAATGTGGTATGTCCGTATAATAGAATAATATTCAGCCATAAAAAGGAATGAAGTACTAGTACATGCCACAACATGAGTGAATCTTGGAAACATTATTTTAAGTGAAAGAAGCAAGGCACAAGAGGCCACATATATGATTCTGTTTATATGAAATAGCCACAGTAGGCATATCCAATAGAGATAAAAAGTAGATGTTTGCCCAGGGCTGAGGAGGATGGGAGAATAGGGATTTCTTTTTGGGGTAATGAAAACGTTCTGGAATTAGTAGTGAAGGGCGAATTTTATGGTATGTGAATTACTAAAAAAAGAAAAGAAGAAAACAGGCATAGTGAAGAGGAGAGGGATTTTCCTGGAGGAGAAATTGTGAGAGCAAAAGCATTCAGGCAGGAAAACATGCAGTTTGGGAAATAGAAGAGCAGTTGTTGGAGGTGCCCGCTTCAGGCAAGTGTATGTTGGAACTAAAGCTGGAAAGGCTGCTTAGAACCAGATAATGAAAATTACTGTGTTTGGATCTAGTTGATAGACAGGGAAGAGAACCAGTTTGAAGGTTTTCTCTTTAAGATGATACAAAGTTGTGTTTTAGGAATGAATGTGTAACAATTTTTGCCCCAGATAACTGATAGAAACATCTTCTCTATGGAGCTACTCTGTCCAGTAAAAGTAAAATATTTCATTAAGAACTTACATTGATTACATTTTGAAATGACAGTATTTTTGATATATTAATTACATTATTTAATGAAATACATTATTAAAATTAATTTCACCTGTTTTTAATGTGTCTCCTAGGAAATACCACATTACATATGTGACTCATGTTTCTATTGGACACTGCTACTATAGAGGGCTCTTTTTCTCTTGAGCATTTAAAATATTCTCATTTTGTACAGAATTTTTGAACTAGGAGTGACTTAAAGATCATTTGGTCCAATTCTCATTTTGCATATAAGAAAATAAGATCCAGAGAGGGGAAATGACTTTTATCCCAGTCTTCACTGTAAAAGTATACGTTCTTTCAATAAGTTTATTTGTTGAGCACCTGCTCTTTGTCAACACTGGATGTATAGCAGTGAACAGAAATAGTCCCTGACCTCAAAAAGTGCTTTTAGTCTAGTGCTGGAATGAGGAAACTTGTCATCACTCTTTGAGGGAAGAGATACATGTTATATTACATAGATACTGTCTACTGCAGAGACCAAGCAGATATACTAAGATGGGGGGTTTACGTATGAATATAATCTTACGTTCAGTTTTATTTTTTCCCATGTGTATGAATATGCCTCCAAACAAAGGTAGTGCTAAATAGTTGCATGTACTTACTGTTATATTTGTGCACTTTTTTCTTTCTTTTTTTCTTTTTTTTTTTTTTACAGGACCCAGAGCAGAGGGCCTTGTTCCTCTTGAATGTGATCCTCCATGTGGGTAGTTAAACTAATTTTACCTGTCCAGTACTTTTTGAAGTATCTTAACAGTAATGGCCAGTAGACTATCTAGTTGGGATTCCTATAAAAATTAACAAGTGCTGTACAGTTTATATCACAGCCTTTATGCTATCGCACAGGCCTCTCAGATAGTCCTTTCGGACCAGCAGATGCAACATAGGCAGTCACCTATCTCTGTTTTCAATTCTTACTTCAGAATATGAAAAACTACCTACTTCTAAGCCAACTGACTTACTGGCTTCAGGCTAAATAAGATAATGGTCCTTTGGCCTTTAGTCCACGGTATGGCTCTTTCTTAAAAATCAAATTAATTTTCTTTTCTATAACTAGAATTTAATAGGGCATGCTTTGACTGAAATTTCATCTATAAACTGAGGGAATGGGGTAATTTCTGTGAATCATAGACTTTTACAGAGCACTGTATATCATCTTGCCATAATTCATTTGGTGAATGTTTAAATTCAGGCTGTCAGCAACTAATTTTAGGTAAGCTTATTTTACCTGAGTCTCATGGGGATATAACTGATGTTCACTGGTTCTACATTTGAGCCCTAGCTTATAAACTTTTAGATTACCTACTGATCCTTACCTTTAAAGGTTGTGTGTTTGCATTTTAAAAAGAGACCATTTTGCCTTACACAGATCCTTAGGGTTAATGTTGTGAAATGTCTTTGTTGAAGTATGCAGTAGGATTTGAATACATAGCAGATAAGTTTTTTTTTTCCTCTTCTCCATCTCCAGATACCATTCAAAGTGGAAAGGGGCTGAGGATAAAACAGTAAACAAGACATTCATCCCCTGTCCTCATAGAGTTTATATTCTAGGGATATTTATTTATTGAAAATAAAGGTGTTATTTGTCCATATTCTCATTCAGAAAATGTTTGTATTAGTAGAACTGTCTCTGTTCTAGCCTCAGCATGTCTAAGTGGAGTAGTCATACTATGGAGTCTTTTGATAGTGCATATTTACTTGTTAGTTTGTAGTATTTTGCCTTTTGTCATATTTTATTAAAATATGAGATCATGTGTTAACGTAAGCAAGTTAACCTCCGTTACAGAAAATGTTTGAGCATCTGCTATGTGTAGTTCACTGTGCCAGGTACTGGAGATTCAGACAGGGAATTAGATACCACTCTTCTCCTCAGTGGGCTTACAGTGTAGTTGGGCCACAAGACATGTAAATAAAATGCGTAAGTAATTCAGTAATTCAGTTCAACAGATATTTGTTGTCTGCTCTGTGGTAGGAGGCACTGGTAACAGGGCTGAAAAGGACAGGTTCCTGCCCACAAAGAATTCACAGTTAGATTAAGTCAAACAGGGAAGTATACAGTGTGTAAAGGACTCTTGGGACACATAGTTAGTATTTCCCAGTCCAGGGTTTGGGAGCGAGGAGAATAACATAAGAATTGATGATAATAAGCTTAAACAAGAAAGACACATTACATTGGAGTTAGCCAGATAAAGAGAGGGACAGGAAGCACATGGAAAGCGTATTCCATGTAGAAAGGAAAACTTGTACAGAAGCCCAGAGATGAGAGAGAGTTTGATATGTCCAGGGAAAATTCACATAGAGTGTCATTGAGGAATGGTGAGAGGTGAGGCTGGAGAAAGAAAGATAAGATAATCTTGAAGAAGACCAGACTTAATGGTCTGACTGAGACTGGAGGAAACCTGGAAAGCATGGCCCCTAGATTCTCTTATCAGCCAAGAACTAAAACAATTTCCGAGGCCAGCTCTTCAGACAGGGATTGGACTGGACTGTGGGACATAAAAGTGATACTCGTGAGGAGTGTGCCTCTTAATTCAGGTAGATACAAGAGACTAAATGGGCATCTTGTGAGATAAGTTCTTGTGAGATAAGAAGGCAGAGGGTCAGGAACTGGTTGAATGGACATGGAGAATCGGGTGGAAAGGAGGAGTGTGCTGTCACAGTATGGGGAGAGCAATTAGAGTCACGTAACAGTGTCTGTATAAATTTTTGTATGGGAAAAAATTTTTTAAAAAAGTCTTGAAGGACCTTTGGGCTTTATCCTGGGGCTAGTAGGGAGCCATCAAAAATTTTTGGACAGTGGAGAAGACATTAGATTTTCATTTAAGGCAGATGACTGGAGGCAGTGTGTAACAGGTCACGTGAAGTGCTCAGTATTGGTAGAGACTGTTAAGAGTCTTGGAGCCCTGGTGGCACACTGGTTAAGAGCTTGGCTGCTAACCAAGAGGTCAGCAGTTCAAATCCATCAGCCGCTCCTTGGAAACCCTATGGGGCAGTTCTACTCTGTCCTATAGGGTCACTATGAGTCAGAATCGAACCGATGGCAACAGGTTTGGTTTTTTAGTTTCAGGTATTAAGAGTCTTAAGGGTATTTAAAGTAAAGAGGCTGTAGAGGACTGAGGGGAAGGCTTCCTGGAGGAAGGGGTTTTTGAGCTGGGCCTTAAAGAAGAGGAGGACCTAGATCAAATAAGGGAGAGAAGGGAAGTCCTTTTGAACAGGTTATAAAAGATGTGAGCAAAGGTGCATGGCATGTTCCCAATACAGAGTGGTTCAGCAGTGGATTCTTAAGGAAAGACTAGCTGGTGATTAACTTGGAAAGGTTAAGAACTTGATTCCTGGCGAGCCACTGACTGTTTTGGTGGAAGATACGATGCCTACAAGGTCATGTTATAGACTGTGACTGGTGACAGCAATAGGAGAGCCAGGCTAGTGAGTGACAGGAGGGGACACGCTATTTAGGGACAGTAATTTGACCTGAATCTTGGTTCAGCTGACCTTAGTTTCAGCACTTAAATACATCAATTTATCTTACACGTAACATCTTAAAGCTTTTATGTGAAACATTCTGAGAACTTTAAACATACTTAGTACTCTGTGGAATCTTGATTTCACCTTTTTCTTGTTGTCTGAGAAATCTACATAGTTCCGACCCTGGAAAATATTTAGAAGTATGCATATGGCCACTTTCTTGCACACTCCCTTAGATACTCAGGTAGTATTTGTGTGTGTGTACCTTCTGTTGGTTTAATACATAATTATTAGAAAATACAGTTAAACCAAAAGAAGTTAGCCTAGAAAATCCACCTCATAGAGCCACTATTAACATGTCAATATATATTCTCCTAGATTGTTTTCTGCATGTGTATACTTAAATATATTTTTTAAAAAGGAGGTCATATTATATTAACTACTTTGTAATTTAATGTAAACATCTTTCCATGCTAATAATTCCTTAGATATCCTCTGAATAAAGGGATCAGTGGGGTTGAGGTAGAGGATAATAATCACCCACATACCAAAATCTTATTGAATAGTTAAATTTTACTACCTTCCTGTTTTTGTCAGCTTCAGTACCAGATACAGCACAGCAGCCACCTGAAGAGCAAAACAAGTCTCTTGAAAAACCAAAACAAAAAAAGAATCGCTGTTTCATGTGTAGGAAGAAAGTGGGACTTACTGGTAAGGACCCAAATTAAATGGTTGAAAATTAATTTTATATTTTACAGTAATGCATCCTTTACTAGGATTGACTTCAATTAAAATAATTTTTGTTCCCATGAGAGATAATATTGTGGACACTTCAATTTCTGTGTTTTCTTAAATAAAAATAGCTTTAATGATATGCCTTAAAGTGATAGGAATAATTTTTCTTGTAAAAACTCATTTCATCTGAGTTTGAGAATATTAGATAAGTAAGGTCAATGTACCACGTGCTATGAGGTGCAAAGGTATGGCTTCTGCCTTCAAGGAGCCAGAAATTGGGTATGAGACAGAATATTTTACAGTACAGGGCAAGCTACAAAGTACTTACTATATGTAAAATAGTGCTAATTTTACATTATAATTATATAATTATAAGATTGTGAAGGTTCAGTGAGTTAATGCATGTAAAAGGAATTCGCCCATGGCTGCCACATAATAAGTAATCAATGCATGTTGGCTATTACAACATAGCTGTCATATGGTGGTGTTATTAGAAGCGGGAGAGAAAAAATGTTGGAAAGTATTTAGCAAAGAAAGTAGATTATTAAGTACTTAGTGGAATTGAGGGAACGGAGTTAAAAGGAAGGGATTACGGAGTTACGTAAAAGGAAGTATCGTGAAGGCCGAATACTTCAGCTGCGTCTTGAGTGATGGGTAGGACTTAATAACTGATGGAAACAGGAGCATTCAGGCAGAAGAAGTAATATGAATAAGGCTTAAAGAAAGGAAAAAGTAGGGCATGTTCAGGGACCTCGGATGGGACATTTACCTCCAGTACAGAAGATGTGAAGAAGGTGGTTGTGTGCTGCAGACAAGAAACAAGATGAGGTGATGAGGAGTCCTGTGGTTACTTGGTGAAGAGCAGTTGCAGCTGTAGGTGAAAAAATCCATTGCCATCGAGCTGATTCTGACTCATGGTGACCCCATGTACATCAGAGTAGAACTGTGCTCCACAGGGCTTTCAATAGCTAATTTTTCAGAAGTAGATCGCTGGGCCTTTTTTCCCAGATGCCTCTGGATGTACTCATACTGGCAACCTTTTGAGGCAAACTGGCAGTTTAAACCTCCAGCCTTTCGGTTAGCAGCCAAGTGTGTTAAGTTTGTACCACCTAGGGATACTGCAGCCATAGATGTTGGTGGTGTTGTTAGGTGCTATTGAGTCGGTTCCAACTCACAGCGACCCTACAACATAATGAAACACTGCCCGGTCCTGCACCATCCTCACAATTGTCATCATGCTTGAGCCCATTGTTGTAGCCACTATCAGTCCATCTCATTGAGGGTCTTCCTCTTTTATCGCTGGCCCTCTACTTACCAAGTATGATGCCCCTCTCCAGGGACTGGTCCCTCCTGAAAACACATAGATAGCTGTAGATAGCTACGTTTTATTGAGTGCTTACTCTGCCAGACATTATACTGAATACATAAAAATTTGACTTGTGGGCACAGAGGAGTAAATAAGATTTTGAGTAAAACTACGCTTTAAGAAGATTACTGTGGCTTAGGAATGGATTGGAGATGAGGAGAGAAGGAGTTACAGTGGCTGCAACAATGGGTTCTTCATATCGTTCAACTTGTCAGTCTAATTTATTAGTGTTGTTATTGGCTTCATTTTTTAATTCATTATTAAGAAGCTATAGGATATATTTTGAAGTTATTGAATATGTTTACCACATTTAAAAAATGTGGTAAAGGAAGTTAACATCAGATGTCAATATTGATTTCTAGGCTGCATTTTCCAACACTTCCATCCTTCCACAGAAACCTAATTTTGGAGTAGCAGGACTTGTTTTACACAGAAACTATCTACACCCCTTATGTGTCTCTCTTGGCTTTGACTCTTTGGACATTTCCCTAAAATAAGTAGCATTTATTGTGTGCCTACTATATGTGAAGCACTTAATACAGTCCTCGTTTAATCCTTACAGCAACTTATTCCACAATTACAGTTGCAGAATCTAAGGCCCAGAGAGGCTAAGTAATTTGCCTTCTTTCGTAAGTGGATTCAAACTTAGGCAACCTGACTCTAGGTCCCGTGCTGTTATTACTCAGCCAAAGTAGAATTCCCATCTCCATTGGAGGCTGGCAAAGGAAAGCTAATATGGGTAATGTGTTATTTGTTCACAGTTCTTGCAAAGATTTTATTTGGTCTTAATTCAGCTAGTGAATTTTGAGAGTGTTATTAGGTTGTGAGACTGTTGGTTAGCTTTTTTCGAATGATTCTTTAGATTGCTCCCCTAAATATGATTCTGTTTAATTATGCTAAGGAACTTAACTGTTAAGACCTTCCATCCAACTCACGTATGTATATTAATCTGCTTTCAGGGTTTGAATGCCGGTGTGGAAATGTTTACTGTGGTGTACACCGTTACTCAGATGTACACAATTGCTCTTACAATTACAAAGCTGATGCTGCTGAGAAAATCAGAAAAGAAAATCCAGTAGTTGTTGGTGAAAAGATCCAGAAGATTTGAACTTCTGCTGGAATACAAAATCCTTTGACCATCTGCAAACTCAAAGTTGACTTGAGCTTTTTTTTCCTAGTCATTGGGAATGTAGAGCAATGTATCTCGCATAGACCTTTTAATCATGCATGTCATCAGAAGAATAGATTTTTGTTTTTGTTTTGAAAATGACTCTGAACATTTATTTCCATTGCAGTTTCTGTGGCTGAAAAGACTTAAGTAAACTTTACAAGTATTATCCTTTTAAGATCATTTTAATTTTAGTTGAGTACAGAGGGCTTTTTATAACAAACGTGGAGAAATTTCGGAGGGCTGTGATTTTTTCAGTATTAAAACATGCATGCATTAATCTTGCAGTTTATTTTCTCATTGTGTATGTATATATAGCTTTTCTCTGCAGCACGATTTCTCTTTTGATAATGCCTCTTAGGGCGCAACTAGTTATCGTAACTGAATGTATCTTAATCATTATGGCTGCTTCTGTTTTTTCATTAACAAAGGTTATACATATGTTAGCATATAGTTTCTTTGCACCCACTATTTATGTCTGAATCATTTGTCACAGGAGAGTGTGTGCTGATGAGACTCTTAAGTTTGTGTGGTTTAAATTTTTTTTTGAGCAAAGGGAAGGAAAAGCTGTTTGCATTTCATTGCTGACTGCAGGTTTCTTTCAGAATATGTTCATCAGTCTGTGTGTATACAATATGAAGAATGATCTGAAGTAATTGTGCTGTATTTATGTTTATCCACCAGTCTTTGATTAAATAAAAAGGAAAACCAGAATGCTCCTTGTATGATTTTTTTTTTTCCCCCAGTGATTCTTTCTGGCAGTTTGTTTTGACTTTGTCTTTTAGTTTTATACCTTCTTAATTTTGTGAGTACTATTCACTGTCTTTCTCACTTCTGTTTATGACTAATGATGATAAATAGTAATCTTACATTCCTGTAAATTGAAGATGTCAGCATTTTGTCAAAGCCAAGAACTTGTTTTCTGTGATCTTTTCTAGCCCTGGTCAGATTCCCTGTTCTATACTCTGCCACACTGAATTAGCATCTAGTAGAAGCTCCCCCCCACCCCCTGCTGCCCTCCAATATGATTAGAGCAACTGAAAGTGCATAATTCAAACAGGCATTTGGAGAACTATGGATTAGAAAGACCCTTAAGAGATCATTTTGTCTTGAGGTTTTCAAATGTACCTGGCAGCCAGCCCCTTCTAAACATGATAAATTATGTAAAACAGATGAAAGCAGTATTTTATAATACATATTTCTAGATTTTAAATTTATTATATGTAAGGAAGACTTCATATGTAAATTTGTGAATGTAATTTATCACATTAACAAAATGAAAAAACCATATGACCATCTCAGTAGATTCATATAAAGTAATAGAATTCAACAACCATTTGTAATAAAAACTCTCCATAAATCAGAACTGGAAGGTATTTCCTTAAGCTGATAGTTTCTATGTAAATGATAATAATTAAAAAAGTAAACATCTTCCAAAAAGAGGAAACTAATTCCCTTTTAAAGTCAGAAACAAAGGCTGGCTGCTCATTATCAGCCCATTATCGCTGCTTATCTTCACATTTGTATTGAAGGTCCTAGCCAGTGGAGTAAGACAAGATAAAGGAATAAGAAGTAGAAAGGAAGGAACAACATGCATTATTTGCAAATTATGTGATTAATTTTATAGAAAACCCAAGAAATCTAGAGAGAAATTAACTAGAAACAATAGGTAGCTAGATGCAATGTTAATTTTCAGAAGTCACTTGCATTTCTTTGCTTCAGTAACAACTAGAAAACCAGAAGGCAACATTTATAAGAGGATCACAATACCAAGTACCTAGGAAATTTAATAATATGTGTTGAAGATCTTAAAAAAAAATCTAAAACATTAAGAGATAATAGGACTTCAGTAAATCGGGAGACAGATGTGTTGATGGATAGGAAGTCAATGTCATAAAGATGTTATTTCTCCTCAAATAAATTCAAAGCAATTCCAATCAAAATCCCATCAGATTTTTCATGGAACATGGTAAGATGAATCTAAACGGTAAAAGTAGAGAATAAAGGGCTTGGATACTTCAGAAAAGGAGCAGGGAGGGGAGGGCTTGCCCTGCCAGATGTTAGGACTCATAATGAAGCCATGTTAATTAAAATACTGTGATAGTAGCCAAGAGACAGATTTCTCAATGGCCTGTACTAGAGTTCCCATAAACAGACCAACGTGGATTGAACTTTGGTATAAGGGAGAGGTGGCATGCCACATCAGGGGAAAGGGAACTGTTCAATAATTAGACCGGGAGCAGTTGTTTATCTGTATGGGAGAAGGTGACATTTGATCCCTATCTCATGCCATTAAAAAAAATTAAGACTGACATGTAAAGCACAAGTAGGTCACCAGGCCTTTCTTCACAGTGCCTCTGGGTGGATTTGAACCTCTAGCCTTTCAGATAGCAGCTGAATACAATAACTGCACCACCCAAGGACTCCATGCTTAAAAGCAGGTGGTTTTTACCACGGCGGGGGGCGGGGTGGGGAGGAGTAAAAGTGACTACTTAGACCCTGGCATAGAAAAGAGCTGCCTAAAACAAAGCATTAATTAAAAAAATATAGCTAGATAGATAAATTTGTCTATTAAAACTAGGAATTTTTATTCCCCAAAAGACACTTAAGGTATCCAAAGAAAGTGAAAAGACAAGTTACAAACTGGGCAAAGTAACAATGTGAATCAAGACTACATTGAGAACATTTTATACCACTCAACTGGCAAAAATTTTAAAAGTCTGACAATAATGTTGGAAGGGTTCTGCCTGATCTTTTATGGATAGCTGCCATTAACATAAAGTGATTGAATCCAACCAAAAGTTTGGTAATGCCTTTTAATGTTGAATTTTGACACATCCTCTGGTCCAAAAATTTCACTCCTGAGTGCCCAAGAAAAATTGCACATAGACAACAGGGGACATATACAAGAATTTCATAACACTGTTCACAAAAGCAAAAACTCAGAACAATTCAAGTTGAAGGAGATGAATAAAATATGATTGATTCTTATAAGGTTAAACGGCAATCAAAACTAATGAACCATGGTGACGAAAGAAGATAGATGAACCTTAGAAGTATAATATGAAGCGTAAAAATACCTCAAAATATGCAACATGCTACCCTATAAAACGTTAAATATAGAATATTTTTTACAAGTCATATAGATGGAACTAAGCTATATGAAAAGAAAGCAGAGTAGTGATGAAGGAAAGGTTCAGGTAGTTTGTTTGGACTTTCAGTTCTTTAGTTAGCTAGATGGAAGATACCCTTAGGTAAGAGAAGGCAGGGGATGGGCTGGTAAGTAGTACCATATGGTCAAGGCCCCAGCTTTTTGTGGGTTAGTATGTTCAAGAGGATTATAATAAGAACCAGTTGCCATCAAGTCGATTCCAACTCATGGCGACTCCATGTGTGTCAGAGTAGAAGTATATGTTCCATAGGGTTTTCAATGGCTGATTTTTCAGAAGTAGGTCACCAGGCCTTTCTTCCCAGTGCCTCTGGGTGGATTTGAACCTCTGGCCTTTCAGTTAGCAGCTGAATGCAGTAACTGCACCACCCAAGGACTCCATGCTTAAAAGCAAGTGGTTCTTCCTGCCTGAGGACAACTGATCTGCCTTGGGTCCAGCACATAAGTGGTTGCCTATGCCTTATGAACCAGTGCTGATCTGGAGTATCGTGTCCAGGGTCACTGCACTGACTTCACTTAAAAGCACAAACAGGAACCACTGGAACATATGGAGGAAAGAAAATGCTGAGTGTCATGAACCAAGGCTCATAATCCAGTTTTTTCTACCTGAGGTTCAAAGTATTAAAAAGGTTAGTTATAAAGCTGTTTTGATCACTACAGTTTGAGAGTTATGCATGAAATGGCTGTTGAATCCACCTCCGTGTTCACTTAATTTGTTTGTTTTTACTGTCACAAAAATCCATTTGCACAAAGTCTGGCGAATGTCTAAATACTGAAACCATCAATCACAGAATTCTCTTGTACTTTGATCTTCATATACTAATTTCTCTGTGACTTCTGTGTTCAGATCTAGCAAAGTATCCTTTCCCTGAATTTTCCTGGAACGCTAACTTAGCATTATGCAGTGCAATCTTGAAATAACTCCCTTCGCTCTTAGCACACGTGTTAGAAGCCATGTTTCTCCTGATGTGAAGGTGGTGGTGTATGCTAATAATGGCTAGAATCTCCCTATTTCTCATGGAGTTTCTAACACATCTAAATCGATATTCTTGGGAATTTAGGAAAGGACTTGTGTGTATAGTAGCATAGTATCTTTTCAGGGACAGACTTCCTGGCCTTCTATTTTTCTTTTTTTATTAACACGTAAGTATCGAGGGTAATTCAGAAGGGACAGGAGAATGGAAAGTCAGGAATGTAGAGCTGAGAGATGGATAGAATCTAACCAACATAAGACCTTGGCAAAAACGTATGTAAGGGGTAGCCTCTTGGTGTCCCAGAGGGGCTCCTTACATATCTGTGATGCAAAAAATGGCTCTCCTCTGATTGTTGGGTTCAGACATCTCTGTGCAGATACCCCTGCAGAAGAGTCTGCTTCATTCACACTGAGTCTACTTCATTCTGAGTCTCAGGTTTCGTCTACTTTTAGGTAACATAGCAAACCTTTCACTCTTGCAAAAAATAATCAGTTTAAATTGCAGGGCCAACAGACACCACTACAAGCAGAAGGACAGTCTAGAGGTCTGCTGTGCAGTAGGGTAGCTGTTAGCCACGTGTGGCTTTCTAAATTTAATCAAAACTAAATAAAGTTAAAGCTTTGATTCCTCATTCACACTAGCCACATTTCAGGTGCTCAGTAACCACACGGAACTAGTGGCTTCATATTGGACAGCTGGCTTTAGAACATTTTCATCGTTGTGGAACATTCTGCTGGACTGCGATGGCCTAGAGGATTTCTGTATGCTTTGTATCTCCTGCCCAGCAGAGATCACAGTGATGTGGTCCAGGTCAGCCATTTTGTGAAGGGGCTTGTATGTTATGCTGAAAGATTTTTACAATCAATCCTTCTAGGACTCACGCCAGCCTTAATTCTTAGACTCTCAACTGGCTGAGTTTTATCCGCTTCACCCAACACCACAGTGCAATACGGTCATTTCTGTCTAGTCTTCTTGCCAATATGTGAAAACTGAAGACCTTTCCTTAAAATGAAGAATTTCAGATGTAGAGGGAGAATCCCATCAGGTTGTCCTTCCTGCCTTGGGGACAACTGATCTGCCTTGAGTCCAGCACGTAAGTGGTTGCCTGTGCCTTATGCACCAATCCTGGTCTGGAGCATTGTGTCCAGGGTCATTGCATTGACTTGACTTAAAGCACAAGTAGGAAACAGATCTGAGCCACTTCCTCAAAAGGGAGCTGTGGGCATAGTAGACACTGAAGCTTCAAGGACTCCCCTGATCTGTCTAGCACAAAGGGTTGGGTTGGGGGATTTGGAATAATAGAGATGGCAGATGAGTAGAGCTTTTGCCCATAAGCTTTAGGTGAGAGGCAAGCAGACCCAACCTTGGTGCTAGATTCTGGTGGTATCTTAGGAAGAAGGAGCAGAG